GAGGGTTTTGGGGTTCCCACAGTTACCCAACCAGCGCAGCACCTCGGATTCACACAGCACTGGGTGCTTATAAAGATCCCACTGTGCTCTCAGCTGTATCTTCAGACATCTAAATCCCTCTAAAAGTCTCACTCTTAGTATCTAAATCCCAGGTGCCTAACTCACTTCTAGGAAAATCTCACACCAGCACTGATTCACTGCATCATTTTGTAAAATCTGCTCCTCACTCACATAAGGCTTTTGAAAATCCCACTGCTAATCTCCTATACCCGGGCACGTATCACTTTGAAGCCTGTAAAATAAATTACTTGGCGCTCCTGTGGGACGGCAGCTACTTTGTCCCCGCTCTCACTGAGGCAGATTTCTGTTTCTTGCATATTAACATAGCGATTTTTTGGAAGCCCCGATGCTGCCATGCGGGACCCGAATGAGGAGCGCGGGTCGGGCGCTGCTTGCCGTGCTGCGCTGCCGCTGCTGCGCCCGCAGAGGTGTCGGGAGGAGCTGCTGCCGGGCGGCTCCTTCACATCAGTGTGGTTCGCCCGTGGGCACAGCGCGTCTGCTCCGCTCCGCCGACCTCCTGGGAAGAGCTGGGAGCAAATCGGTTCGCCTCTCGCCGAGTCCCGGCGGTGTTTGGTGCTTTCTTGCAAGAAATCGCCTGGGTGAAGAAGGAAAAAATCCAAGTGCGGATGTTCTTTCATTATTTCCCCCCCAAACCCCCCCTCCCTTTTTTTTTTTTTTTTAATTTTAATTTCCTATTTTCATTCGTTGGCGCGTTCTGTTCTTAAAACCGTGCCTATGCTTTCTTCATTAGATAAATCAGAGCTGGGGGATAAACAAATGATTCTTTCCTGTAACAACAACAACAACAGCAACAAAGAAGCACGGGCTGGCTGCTGCTGGGGCATTTTTGATAGAAAATCTGCCCGCAGCCTCCTGTTAATCAGTTTGGCGCAGCGCGAAGCCTGCAGCTTGTTAATGGGAGCCGCACAACAGCGAGCTGCAGCGGAGGAGAGCTGCGTGGATTTTACTCTGCAGCTCTGTTAATTAAAACATATTTCACTTTGAAGGAGGCTTTTACTGTTTTCTATGGGGGTGAGCAGAAAGCTGTTCGCTCGGTTAGATTAAAAGAAGGAATCGGAGGTATTTCTTGCAAGTAACAACTTCACATTGCTTGATGGGCAAACTCGTTTAGCAGAAAGAATGTGCAGCTCTTATTTTTATTTATTCTCTGTCCCTGTGTACTTTGCGAGTCTGAGCTGCTTGGCTGGTTGGATAATACCAAACCAAATGTCCACCTACGAGTCGCCAGAAAGGATCAGAAAACTTGTCACACATCCTTTTTAATTGGTAAAGTAATTTTTACTTACACACTGGTAAACTAAAATAATAAGGCCTGAAATGGTGCCATTGAAGTTAATGACAAAACCTTCAGAGGTTCCAAATAAAGCCTGCACTTTATTATCCCAGTCCCAGTGACTTTTGTTGCGAGTTTGCAGCAAAATGTTAGGGTGTTATTTTTATTATACAAAATCCCATTAAAATCAGTACTGAAGCATCCCATTAATTTAAATGGGACTTTGCATACTTTGCCTGGTTCCAGGCCACAGATAAAGAGAAGTATGCGGTGCAGAGTTAAACTGACCACAGCTTTTTATTAGAAGACATTTAATCTCGAACGAACAGCACAGTCTGAGGCACTGGGGCTTTGTGGACTGCATGCAATAGGAGCCTCTGCAGCACAGCAGCCTTTGGGACCACTCAGCCCATGCAGGGCTCCCACGCCAAGCCATGGCCCAGGCAGGTATGCAGAGTGCTCCCCAGGCAGCTCGGCCTTGGGAATGCTATTAGGTGAGCCAGCACGCGCAGAACGAATGGAAAACTTGATTCAGCTCTTTCTCGGGCTCCAAGCATCCGCTCCCCTCAGCACACACGAGGCTGCAGGAGGCGGGCAGAGCTCTGGGACTCCGTACGGCACGGCCAAAGACAGAGACCCACTGGGGATGGAGTGATGCAGCTTCAGCACGAGCTTCCCGCACTGGAAACCACTTGTAGGAATGTGCAGGGTGAGAAAAGCATCGCCTCCAGTGTGTGACAACACGGCCCTGGTGATGGGAGCTTGAAAACCAGCACGCAAAGAGCAGCGAAGCAGGGAGTTGTGTACGGGGCACAGCCCTCTGGGGGCTCAGAGACCATTTAATGATGTCCCCCCGGGGGTGGGCACACACCTGGGTTGTGGCAGAGATGTCCTCTGAGGACATCCCTAAGGAAGCTGTGTTTGGACGGGAGGTTCCGTGCTTCAAAACCATCAAATCTCCCCATTAATTTGGCTGTAACCATTGCGGGGGAGACCTGAAGGCTGCTGGAAGCAGGACATCCATAAATGTGCACGGGGAAGGTGTAGGAGGTGCTTTCTGTTCACTGTCTACTTGGAATTTTCCTTTCTCTGAGCCATAAACGAGTCGAGAAGCCCACATTTCCCCCTCACAGAGGTGGGTGAGCTTCCCCTGGTACATGGCAGCAGGGGGAGATGGTGGTGGTGGCTGCAGAGACCCCGGCAGCTGCATGGCTCTCACACACGAGCTGAATTTTGGGGGGTTTCAGGGCTCTGGAAGCAGGATTAGGGTTGAATGCGAGCACCGCAGCCGCTGCCCTGATTTAGGGCTAACAGTGCTACCTCCAGGAACACGAGAAAAACGAATGCAGCCAATCCAGGCTGAAATAACAGCGGAGGGCTTTCAGATAACCCTCCCCTGCCATTTCCGCCCCGCCCCCCCCCCCCCCCCCCCCCCCCCCCGCGCCGCGCCCCCGGGCGCCGCCCCC